CTTATTGGCCCTCATGGGGCCAACAGGGGGCGGCGGATCGAAGACGCCTACGGCGAATCACCGCCGCCCCCTGCCTTTTTGGAAGCGCCTATGTGGCCGAACGTTGAGGCCAGACCTGCCAAGCTATCGGACCACGTGTTCCCCGAATCGGTTTGGAAAGCCTTCGGGGAACACGTGGGCATCTTGAAGGTCATCTTGGCCGTCTTGGAGGCCTCTTGGGCAAGCTTTGGGCGATCTTTGGGGCTTTTTGGGCCGTCTCGGGCCAGCTTCGAGCCAACTTCGGCCATCTTGGTGGGTTCCTGGCACGTCTGAAGCCGTCGGAAGCCGTTTGGGGGGCCTCTATGGGCCGACTTGGGGCCCGCTTGGAATGCTCCAGGGCCGTCTTGGAGGCCATCTTGGGCGTCTTGGAGGCCATCTTGGGCGTGTTGGAGGCCTCTTGGGCCCTCTTGGGGCCCTCTAGGGGCCATCTTGGAGGCCACTTGGGCCATCATGGGGCTCTCTTGGGGGCCTCTTGGGCGATCTTGGGGGCTTCTTGGGCCGTCTTGAGCCGTCGGAGAGCCGAAAAGGCGCAAATGCCAAAATCCTTCAAAAACCAAGGGAAAATCAATGATTTTGGCCTCTTCGGACTCTCCTGGAGGACCTCTTGGAGGCCTCTTGGGCCGTCTGGGAGGCCTCTGGGGGGCCTCTTGGGCCGTCTTGGGCCGTCTTGGACTCTCTTGGGCCGTTTTGGAGGCCGTCTTGGACCATCTCGGGCGGACTTGGAGGCCATCTTGGGCCATCTTCGCGATTTTTTGAGGATGTCCCGAGCGAAACGGCCGTTTTTGGGCATTGACAGATGGATTTTGGGAAATTTGCGGGTGGCCGGCGGGACGGGCCGAAGCCCACTGGGGAGTTCTTTTAGAAAAAGAACCAAAACCAAAACCTGAATCATCCAGCACGCCGTGCACCCCTGCAAGCAGGGGGCGGCGGATCGAAGACGCCTACGGCGAATCACCGCCGCCCCCTGCCTTTTTGGAAGCGCCTATGTGGCCGAACGTTGAGGCCAGACCTGCCAAGCTATCGGACCACGTGTTCCCCGAATCGGTTTGGAAAGCCTTCGGGGAACACGTGGGCATCTTGAAGGTCATCTTGGCCGTCTTGGAGGCCTCTTGGGCAAGCTTTGGGCGATCTTTGGGGCTTTTTGGGCCGTCTCGGGCCAGCTTCGAGCCAACTTCGGCCATCTTGGTGGGTTCCTGGCACGTCTGAAGCCGTCGGAAGCGTTTGGGGGGCCTCTATGGGCCGACTTGGGGCCCGCTTGGAATGCTCCAGGGCCGTCTTGGAGGCCATCTTGGGCGTCTGGAGGCCATCTTGGGCGTGTTGGAGGCCTCTTGGGCCCTCTTGGGGCCCTCTAGGGGCCATCTTGGAGGCCACTTGGGCCATCATGGGGCTCTCTTGGGGGCCTCTTGGGCGATCTTGGGGGCTTCTTGGGCCGTCTTGAGCCGTCGGAGAGCCGAAAAGGCGCAAATGCCAAAATCCTTCAAAAACCAATGGAAAATCAATGATTTTGGCCTCTTCGGACTCTCCTGGAGGACCTCTTGGAGGCCTCTTGGGCCGTCTGGGAGGCCTCTGGGGGGCCTCTTGGGCCGTCTTGGGCCGTCTTGGACTCTCTTGGGCCGTCTTGGAGGCCGTCTTGGACCATCTCGGGCGGACTTGGAGGCCATCTTGGGCCATCTTCGCGATTTTTTGAGGATGTCCCGAGCGAAACGGCCGTTCTTGGAGGATTTTTTGCGGTCGTTGAGCACGTTTGGGGAAATTCCGGGTGGCCGGCGGGTTCTGCCGGAGCCCACTGGGAAGTCCGCCGCCCCCTGCTTGCAGGGGTGCACGGCGTGCTGGATGTTTCAGGTTTTGGTTTTGGTTCTTTTTCCAAAAGAACTTCCCAGTGGGCTCCGGCAGAACCCGCCGGCCACCCGGAATTTTCCCAAACGTGCTCAACGACCGCAAAAAATCCTCCAAAAACGGCCGTTTCGCTCGGGACATCCTCAAAAAATCGCGAAGATGGCCCAAGATGGCCTCCAAGTGCGCCCGAGATGGTCCAAGACGGCCTCCAAGACGGCCCAAGAGAGTCCAAGACGGCCCAAGACGGCCCAAGAGGCCCCCCAGAGGCCTCCCAGACGGCCCAAGAGGCCTCCAAGAGGTCCTCCAGGAGAGTCCGAAGAGGCCAAAATCATTGATTTTCCCTTGGTTTTTGAAGGATTTTGGCATTTGCGCCTTTTCGGCTCTCCGACGGCTCAAGACGGCCCAAGAAGCCCCCAAGATCCCCCAAGAGGCCCCCAAGAGAGCCCCCTGATGGCCCAAGTGGCCTCCAAGATGGCCCCTAGAGGGCCCCAAGAGGCCCAAGAGGCCTCCAACACGCCCAAGATGGCCTCCAAGACGCCCAAGATGGCCTCCAAGACGGCCCTGGAGCGCCCCAAGAGGGTCCCCCGTTGGCCCAGAAAGGCCCCCAAAACGGCTCCCGACGGCGTCAGACGTGCCAGGAACCCACCAAGATGGCCGAAGTTGGCTCGAAGCTGGCCCAAAAGGGCCCAAGAGGCCCCCAAGAGGGCCTCCAGGAAGGCCAAAAGATGCCAAAATCACTGATTTTCCAAGGTTTTTGATGGATTTGGGCATTTCCCTTTTTTCGGCCTTCCGACGGCCCGAGACGGCCCAAGAGCCCCCAAAGATCGCCGAAAGATCGCCCAAGAGGCCTCCAAGACGGCGACGATGACCATCAAGACGCCCACGTGTTCCCCGAAGGCTTTCCAAACCGATTCGGGGAACACATGGTCCGATGGCTTGGCAGGTCTGGCCTCAACGTTCGGCCACATAGGCGCTTCCACAAAGGCAGGGGGCGGCGGTGATTCGCCGTAGGCGTCTTCGATTCCAGCACGCCGTGCACCCCTGCAAGCAGGGGGCGGCGGATCGAAGACGCCTACGGCGAATCACCGCCGCCCCCTGCCTTTGTGGAAGCGCCTATGTGGCCGAACGTTGAGGCCAGACCTGCCAAGCCATCGGACCATGTGTTCCCCGAATCGGTTTGGAAAGCCTTCGGGGAACACGTGGGCGTCTTGATGGTCATCGTCGCCGTCTTGGAGGCCTCTTGGGCGATCTTTCGGCGATCTTTGGGGGCTCTTGGGCCGTGTCGGGCCGTCGGAAGGCCGAAAAAAGGGAAATGCCCAAATCCATCAAAAACCTTTGGAAAATCAGTGATTTTGGCATCTTTTGGCCTTCCTGGAGGCCCTCTTGGGGGCCTCTTGGGCCCTTTTGGGCCAGCTTCGAGCGAACTTCGGCCATCTTGGTGGGTTCCTGGCACGTCTGACGCCGTCGGGAGCCGTTTTGGGGGCCTTTCTGGGCCAACGGGGGACCCTCTTGGGGCGCTCCAGGGCCGTCTTGGAGGCCATCTTGGGCGTCTTGGAGGCCATCTTGGGCGTGTTGGAGGCCTCTTGGGCCCTCTTGGGGCCCTCTAGGGGCCATCTTGGAGGCCACTTGGGCCATCAGGGGCTCTCTTGGGGGCCTCTTGGGCGATCTTGGGGGCTTCTTGGGCCGTCTTGAGCCGTCGGAGAGCCGAAAAGGCGCAAATGCCAAAATCCTTCAAAAACCAAGGGAAAATCAATGATTTTGGCCTCTTCGGACTCTCCTGGAGGACCTCTTGGAGGCCTCTTGGGCCGTCTGGGAGGCCTCTGGGGGGCCTCTTGGGCCGTCTTGGGCCGTCTTGGACTCTCTTGGGCCGTTTTGGAGGCCGTCTTGGACCATCTCGGGCGGACTTGGAGGCCATCTTGGGCCATCTTCGCGATTTTTTGAGGATGTCCCGAGCGAAACGGCCGTTTTTGGAGGATTTGTTTTCCGGATTGAGGTGTTTTCGGCTTCCTCCCGGGACCCCGGCGGGACGGGCCGGAGCCCACTGGGGAGTTCTTTTGGAAAAAGAACCAAAACCAAAACCTAACAGCTCGTCCAGCACGCCGTGCACCCCTGCAAGCAGGGGGCGGCGGATCTGGTGGCATTCGGCCCATCCCGCCACCGTGCCTGGGCTGTGGCTTAGAAGCCACTTGGATGTGCGGTGGGATCTCGTGAGAAGCGTTGCTGGGGCCTTCCCGAGGCAGTTTGACGGCCTCTGGGGGGGGGGGGGGCTCTTTTGGGGCCTCTTGGGGCCTCTTGGGGGGCTCGTGGGGGTCTCGCGGGGGCCTCGTGGAGCCCCTTGAGGACCTCTTGGGCCATCCCGGGAGTCTCTTGGGGCGGAGAGCTAGAATTTTCGGTTGGTGGTCCCCTTCTTGGCCTTCTTGTAGGCCTCTTGGGCTGTCTTGAGGCCCTCTTGACCCGTGTTCGGGCCCTCTTGGGCCGTCTTGGGACCTTCTCGGGGGCCTGACGGGACGTCTGGAGGCGATCTTGGGGGCCTCTGGGGCCGTCGTGGAGCGTCGGAAGCCCGAAAAGGCGAGAAAGCCAAACACCTGATACTTAAATATACATATACATATATATATATATATATGTATATATGTGTGTGTGTGTAAATAAATATATACGTACAAACATACATACATACATACATACATACATACATGCATGCATGCATGCATGCATGCATACAGACAGACAGACAGACAGACAGACAGACAGACAGACAGACAGACAGACAGACAGACAGACAGACATACATAAAGGACTTGGTTGGGTCCCTCGTGGGAGGTCTCGTCAAAGCCTCTTGGGGCGTCTTGGAGGCATTTTGGGTCGTCTGGGGGCCGTCTGGGGGCCATCTTGGGCGTCTTGGGACGATGTTTCGGCGACTCGGGGCCTTCCTGAAACGTCTTGGAAGTATCTTGGGGCCCTCGTGACCCGTTTTGAGGCCCTGGATGCCTCCCAGGCAAAATTTCTGGAGCAAAGTACTCCCCCCCCGCCGGCCCGGGGAGACCCCCCCCCTCCAAATCGACCGAATCTGGCTCCCGGGGGAGGGGGGAGCATCTCACACGCCGATGAACACCTAGGGGTCGGCGGATTTGGGCTGAGAGCTGGAAATCCTAGTCATCGCAGCCTGATGGCCCCAGAAGGGGGCCTGCGGATTGTCGACCCAGGGCTTCATCATGCCAGAGAACCCTTTCAATCGGGTCATGGCCAAGCCCGCCGACCTCCGCAGGAGCCTCGACTCGGTCGCCGTCCCGGCCCTCAGCGAGTTCGCGCAGTGGCGCGCCGCGGAGATCGCGAAGGAGCTGCCGGACCCCGTGCCCGACAACCCGGGGGCCGCGCTCTTCGTGGTCGGAGCCGCCGAGGGCGGCGTGCGGTGGAACCCGCTGTGGCTGAACCTCTGCGGCCTGGCCGTGTCCGCGGACGGGCAGACGCATTGGCAGCAGCAGCCCGGGGGCAAGCAGAGGTCGCCGTGCAGGAAAGGGGGTCCGAGGGAAACGGGTCCTGAGGCCTTCCGCCGGGGGTGGGCGTGTCCTGAGGCCCTCGGGCCCCAGGCCTGTCCGGAAACGGCTCAGGATGAAGGACTGGTCTTGGGGGAGGGCCCCAGGGTCCAGGACCCGTTTCCGCCGCGTTAGAATGAGGAGGGAAAGAAACACACAGACACAATGAATCTTCGGCTCCCAGGAAAATATGGGAAAATATGGGAAGTGGGGGGGGGAGACTGAAACCCAGAAAGTATGGAAAAATATTGGGAATCCTGGGATTTGTGTGTATTTATTTGTGTGTGTCCCTGGGCCCCGTCATAGAGAGGTATTACAACGCTCTGGAGAGGGCGACCCTGCAGCTCTTCGACACCACCTACGAGGAGCGACGGGGCCTGGGAGGCTGCACGCAGAAAGACGGTTCGCTCGCTCGTTCCTTCAGCGTTACGTCGGGCCCGTCCCTCCTCAGGACGAATATCCAAAAATAGTCAAAAAATAGGAGGGGACGATTTTCTGATTATTTGTTGAACACGTCTGGGCATTTGTTGAGGATGTTTTTATGTTTCGTCCAAAACCCGCCTGTACGGAGACATGCCCGACCTAGTTTTAGCGGCTTGGAACGTGCCCGTCTGTGGACGAGGTCGTGCACAGGACATTGGGAAAAGGGGTGGGACCGTAACTACACGAAAGTAGGCATCACTCATTTGGAGGCGCCTCGATCCCCAGACCCCCGACGTCATGATTTGCTCATAACGTCGACCCCCAGAGGTCCGCACCCACTCTCCAGGACCAGTTGATCATCCTGGGTAGTGCTTGACGGCCCCGGGGCCTGGCAAGGGCGCGCAGCGGCCGAAAACACAGAAAACCGTCCGTCGTGATTTGTCCATGATTCGAGGGGCGTTGGGCAGCTTCACCCGAAGGAGGAGAAGAAGTGGAGGGTCGGCGACGAGCCCGAGGGGGGAAAGCAGAGATGGGGGCGGGCTTGCTCAGAAGGCTCGGGAGTCCTCAGGCCTTCTGAGACTGTTTCCCAGCCCTCTCTGAAGGTCTGAGAGCTTCTGAGAAGCCCCGCCGCTTTCTGAGAAAGCCGGCGGTCTTGCAGCCCTCGTTTGGCGAACGGCGTTTGAGCCTCCTGGTCTGACTTGGGGCGATCTGGGGTGGGTTTACGATCCGCGAGCATATCCGTATCCGCGCGCGGTCTGTATTCCCGGGCGAAATCCCGCGGATACACGGTCGCACGGATACGGTCCGCGCGAGGCATCCGCGAGAAACGCCCCGTGCCCGCGGAGTCGCGGCCCAGGGGCTTGGCCTGCGAGGCCGCGGATACGGAGATGTGTTTCGCCCGCGAGGGGTGCCGCCTGATCTGCGCCCTAGTTTCACCGAGCGCGTTCCACTACTCGCAAAGTGCCTACTCGCAAACGTCCAAAAATCACACGTCCGCCTCGATGTAATCTATCGCAAGTCCTTCGCGTCCGATCCAGGCCATTTGCGAGCAGTGACTTTTTGCGCGTAGCGGAACGCCCTCGCCTACAGTTGGGCCCTTCTCACTTACCCCCCCGGGCGCGCCGCCGAGAGGGGGGGGGGCCTTGTGGCTCAGGCCAGCCAGGGGAAAGAATGGTCCTGGGGAATGGGTCCGGACTTCTGGGGGTCGGCGCTGTTGGAAAAAACATGCAGTCGGAAGTCTGGGGGGACTCGGGGTTGACGGACCGTGTCGCCGCACGGTCTACCTCCGCACCGTTTTCGGACGCCCATCATTTGCGTTGAGCATCTTCCTTGGACGGCCCCAGGACGCAGAAGCGGCCCCGGCACGCCGTGTATACGACAGGAAGTTTCGACATCGGTTTTTGCCAGGACGTCAGAGGTTTGGGTTCGGAGGTCTCGAATTGGCCCCGAGACTTGTCCCAGGGTGCGTCCCAGCCAGATTTGGGAGGGGAATGCAGCCGTGGCCACGGGGAGCGTCCCAGACATCCTCCGATATGTGTTTTCCATCCGCGGCCCCAGGGGTCCCGACCTTTTCCCCTGGGGCGTCCTTGACCCATTTTTGAAAGTCCCAGGGCCCGATGACGGGGCCCTGAGGCCGAAGTCGAAGAGAAACGCCAGGATTGGAAAAAAACATCCTCGAAGATCTGGGGAAGAGCAGGAGGAGGAGGACGAGGAGGAGGAGGAGCAGCAGGAGGAGGAGGAGGAGGAGGAGCAGAGGAGGAGGAGGAGGAGCAGGAGGAGGAGCAGCAGGAGGAAGAGGAGGGGGAGGAGGAGGAAGAGGAAGAGGCGAGGAGGAGGAGGAGGAGGAGGAGGAGGAGCAGGAGCAGGAGGAGGGGGAGGAGGAGGGGGAGGAACAGGAGGAGCAGGAGGAGGAGGAGGGGAGGAGGAGAAGGAGGAGGAGGGGGGGGAGGAGGAAGAGGAAGAGGCGAGGAGGAGGAGGAGGAGAAGGAGCAGGAGTAGGAGGAGGGGGAGGAGGAGGGGGGGGGGGAGGAAGAGGAAGAGGCGAGGAGGAGGAGGAGGAGGAGGCCTAATCATCATATCCTCGGACATCTGGACTCCTGGGCACAAGAACCGGACAGCGTCACCGAAGAAGCGTCGACCCTCCCCGATCCCCCGAGAAGCCCTGCCAGCCCAGGAGGACGTGGCCGCCCTCGAGGCCGGTGGCCTGTCGGCCAACGGCAGGATGGCCAGGACGTTCCTCCTGGGGCAGAAGGACCGGGCGGCGTCAGACGACCGCCTCTCACCCAGACCCCCTCGGCGCCGTGAAACGGCTAATTCTCCAAATAGGCTTGCCCTCTAGAAGTCCTGGCCCATCATAAGCAATTGGTCTTTAGGCCCCCCCCCTTTTTCCAATGGCACCCCTTCTCCTTCTCTCGCTCTTCTCTTCTGCTTCTCTCGCTCTTCTCCTGTCCATCTGTCTATTTGGAGTCAACGCTGGCTGACACGACAGACTGTTTTTTGTATTTTCTGCCTCGGAGGGCCCTCGCCAGGCCCGCGCACCGTCAAACATCGACTCGGGATGAGACACCGGCCCCGCGGAAGGAGTCTGGACCTCTGCGCCTGGTGACCTCCACCCGGGTTCGTTGCCGGCTGCAGGGAGAGCGCAGGCATCATTTCGCAGCGCAGGCTTTCGCCGCGATTGGCAGCATTTCCTTAATTAGCGCGATGCAGAGGTCGGGACGCATTCCCCGGCGCCGCTGTGAAAAAGTCATGCCGTCGGGGGTCGACGTTGTGACCAAATCATGCCGTCGGGGGTCTGGGCACCAGCCCTGGCCCTTCCGATCCTGGGGGTCCAGGATCGATGGATATACGCCCTCCCTGGCCAAGCCAGGCTCGGGAGAGGCGGCTCCTAGGAGGTTCGATTCGGGATCGATGCGCTGGCAGATCCGAGGCTGAAAGCTAGCGCCATTCTGCAGCACCGTGCCGGATCGAGCTCCATCGTGGGCTTATCATCCAGCCTAATCTGGCCGAATGGCCCCTTAGTCTGGCTTCATACGGCAGGGGGGAACAATTCGTGAACACTCCCCCGCTCCCCCAAACTCAAAGTTGGCACGCACGCGCGGGGGGGAGGGGGGGCTTACGGTCGAAGTAAAACTCATCAGACCCACCGCCAATTCTGAACATTTGGGGGGGAGGGGGAGGCGTGGACCGATGAATGTGGCATGCGCGTTCGCTATTTTTGTTCCGAGGTAGGCCCGGCCTAATCCGCCTTAGTGGCCTTTTAATCCGGCTTCCAAGCTCCTCACGAAGGCCTCGCAGGCGTCGCTTCCGAGCCAGGAGGGGGCCTCCGAGCCAAGACGCGGAGACGAGGAGCAGTTTGGGGTCTGGAAGGGATCGCCGTTCCTCAAGGGGGCCCTCCACGGGGCTGTTCCTCCAGCGCCCCTCGTGCACCCCGGCGCGGGGCAGACATCGAAGAGGAAAAAGCGCTACTCACGTACACATCCTTCGTTTCTAATTAGTCGAAAGTTCTTTGATTTTTTGGGGAGTCAAGATCCTTTCACTTCGAATTGTTCTGTCCTGGGCCCCTTCCTGGCCACTGGGGGGCCAGGAACAATTAAAAACGAGTACAATTAGAAATGAACACGATTAGAAATGAACGACGTGTAAACTTTTGGCGCGCCGCGCGTATTTCTTGGATCCGCGTTGGGGCCCCCCCCGCCAAGAGTTTTGTGTTCAGGTCGTTTTTTATTGTTATTCTTCTTCTCAAACAGGGGCTTCACTCTTTACGTGGCGCTCCATATGGCAGCAGCTCGACACTGTAAACCGATCATGGGCCCAGGACAGGCCCAACCGGCCCATGCGTCCTCCGATCATTATTTCAGCTCGCGGCCCCAAAAAGCTTCCAGCCCTTTCCCAGGAGGTGGCTTGGCGTCCTGGACCCGTTTTTGAAGGCCCCGGGGCCCGATCACGGGCCTGGGAGGCCGAGGTTGAAGAAAAAAGCCGGGGATTGAAAAATCAGATCGTCGGAGATGCGGGGTCGGGGGTCGCAAACCAATCCCCCGGGGGTGTGGCACTTCAGGTCGAGCACGCGCCAAGCCTGGCGGAATCATTTTTCTTCCGTGTGCCTGGAAGTGGGAGGAAGGGGCGGGCGGGCGGGGCGAGCGCATGCATCATGTTTTCTGCGAGTGCGTCATGCCTCAGCCCTCAAACCGCAACCGCTCACGATGCGACGAGAAACCCTTCGGTCGGCAGACGTGCAGTCGGAAGGGGAGAGGGCATTTTCAATACAGTTCTGCCGAGAATTTCGAGGCGGCGCCAGCCGCGGCCACGAGAGGCTCCCTGGAGCCACCCCCAAAAAAAACGCGATCATCGAACTCGATATCGTCAGAGAAATATTCGACCCTCGGAGATCTCCAGGAGGATCGGTGAGGCGGCCAGCTGGCGCCGCCCGACAGGAGCTGGTGCTGTACGCGCTCGGCTCCCTGCAGCAGCAGCTGCTCGGCGCGGACGCCGCGCCGCAGCAGTGACGCCCGCCGAGTGCCGAGGCCCCGGGCTCGGGGCTCGGGGTCCGAACCCCCTCGCGTCGTGACAAAAAATGCGACACACAGCTTTTGTCCCCACAGAGCACTTAGGGGCTCTCGCCAGGCTTCCGAAGGAGTGGGCTGGTCCGCCGCCCCAGCCAGCTTGTTCTCGCCCCGTCGCCGCCTCTCGCCGCCCATCGCCGCTTCGTCGCCCGTCGCCGCCAGTCGTTGGGCTGCTCTGCCGCCCCGGCCGGCTTGTTCTTGCCCCGTCGCCACCCCGTCGCCGCTCGGTACCGCCCGTCGCCGCTTCGTCGCTGCCCATCGCCGTTCGTCGCCGCCGCGCGTCGCCTCCGCACTTTGGTCGCAATTTTGATTGTGCGAGTCTCGTAGATTTCCCCCCCCCCGAAGAATATAAACTCTACCCCCCCCCCCGGGCTGGCTTTATCGCTTCCCTGTGGGATATTACAATTTACATGTTATTCTGCCTAATCGTTCATTTTGAGTGTGTACTCGTACCATCCCGGGAACTCCCCGCATCGCCCCCTTCATCCCTGTCGAAAAATGTTATGCGCGCACATTCGCTCATCGGATAAAATTTAAACGCGCTAGGTTCGTACAGGTTTCGAGGTTGGGGTTCCCGAAACATGCGTTTCTATTTACATGTCTACATATATACATACAAATACACATGTATGTACCTACATACATACATACATACATACATACATACATACATGCATACATACATGCATATGTGCATACACACATACAGTGTGTATATAAATGTGTGTATAAGCATGTGTTTATATAAAAAAATACATAAACATACGAACTTATATACATGTACATATATATATATATGCGTACGTACATATGTGTCTATCCAACAAAAAAGCATGTGCGGTGCAGTAATCAGTTTAACAACGAACAATTGCGCGCGCTTTGTAACGAATGTTCTGGGAGCCGATGGGTTACTCAACATTTTCGTCCAATGAAACCACGTGGGCCTCTCGCGCGCGCATGTCGAAAATGTTCGCACGCCCTTGCGCGCTTGCTGGAAAGGCACGATCCTTGTGAAGTCAAACTATGCGGTCTACTCGCGCGCGTCGGCAGCGCACGCATGTCGAATTCCTCCCAACATTTGCATCAACGACAAGTGGGCATCATCAACATCGTCATCGGCGTGACCAGTATTGGCGCCGTCGTTGGCCTTGCCGCCGTCATCGTCAGCATCGTCACCAGCATCCCTACTATCATCATCGTTTCCGCCGTTGGCGACGTCACCGAGATACGGCGCATTGTCGAACCACCGACCCGCATTGAACTGCCCGCGCGCCAATGCGGCCTGTGAGACTTGGTGGAATGTCCCCACCGGTCAGCGCCACCGCGGCCGCGTCGGTTGAGCCAAACATGTTGGCCGTTCTGCGCGAGATTTGTTGCACGCTGGCGCGGCCGCAGACATGTGCCAGCCAGCGCCAAGCAGTCATCGCCGCCGCATTGGTTTTGCAAACCAAGTTGCAGGTGGGTGGGCAGGAGGAATGCACAAACAATGGAGTTGACAACTCCAAGTTCTTGAAAGTTTGTTGCTCCACATAGGTCGTCATTTTAAACAGAGAACAGACCCTGCCACCCCCCACCCCCCAGAATTATCGGACCCCGCTGGGACACGGCAACTTGTATATGAGTCTGCCCTATCGTTAATTTTGCATACGAACTATACCCCCCGCAAATCCCAGTCAAACACTTCTATGCGCGCACATCCGTGTATCGTAATAGGTCATTGCCAAGCAATCCCTTGCAAAAGTGGGACGAAGTCCACACGCGCGAATCGCCAAGCGCGCATGTCTACATATATTATTCCAAGCTTTCTGTTCCCAACCATCGTGTGGTGTTGGGTCCTCCTTTTGAAGAAACAAGGCCCCGCGTCCCACCTCCTCTCTTCCTCCCTCTTTTCCCTCCTCCTCCTCCTCCTCCTCTTCCTCCCCCTCCGTCCTCCATCGTCATCCCCATCAGCACCATCACCATCATTACGGCACGCCCCTCTCACGGTTCGTGGTCCCATGGGGCGCTCCACCGAAAGCCCTAGCGGCAGGGTTTACATGCGTCCCCGCGATTCATTTCGGCACAACCCTCATAGAATTCGTGGCCCCATAGAGAGCTCCATCGAAGGCCCCGGCGGCAGGGTTTACATGCGTCCCCGCGGTTAATTTCGGCACACCCCTCACACGCTTCGTGGCCGCATAGGGAGTTCAACCGAAGGCCCCAATGGCAGGGCTTACGCGCGCCCCCACGATTCACCCCGGCACACCCCTCAAACGGCTCGCCTGCGGCAGGCTTTACATGCGCCCCCGCGATTCATGTCGGCACACCCTTCACACAGTTCGTGGCCCCATAAAGAGCTCCACCGAAAGCCTCAGTGGCAGGGTTTTCATGCGCCCCCGCGATTCATGTCGGCACACCCCTCACACAATTCGTGGCCCCATAGGGAGCTCCACCGAAGGCCCCTGTGACAGGGTTTACATGCGCCCCCGCGATTCATGTCAGCACACCTTTCACATGGTTCGAGGCCCCGTATGGAACTCTACCGAAGGCCCCAGCTGCAGGGTTTACATGCGTCCCCGCGATTCATTTCGGCACACCCTTCACACGGCTCGTGCCCGATAGGGAGCTTGACCGAAAGCCTCAGTGGCATGATTTACATGCGTCCCTTCGGTTCATTCTGGCACACCCGTCACACGGTCCGTGGCCCCACAGGGAACTCCACCGAAGGCCCTAGTGGCAGGGTTCACTTTCGCCCCTGCGATTCATGTCGGCACACCACTCACACGGTTCGTGGTTCCATTGGGAGCTCCACGCAAGGCCCCAACGGCAGGGTTTACATGCGCCCCCACGATTCAGTTCGGACACCGCGGCCCCCCCTCATCCGTGTCATCCTCCTCGCGGTATTTGCAGCTGCATATGGCTGGGTCTTTCGTCAGGCAAATTTGTTCGCCGTAGTTCAATACCGATGTGCCCGAGTACCTTTGCAGAAACATGCGTTTAAACATCTGGCCACAGATGTAATCAACCTTTTTATTTAAGGTACATATATATACACAACTATAAACATATACACATAAATATATAAGTGCATAACAATAAGTAAGATATGTATATCGAAATGTCTTGCTAACTCGCATGGACACCATATGCTTTTATTTTTCTCACATGAGACCACGCGGGACGCTCGCCGTCGCTATCGTCAGCACCGCCACCACCATCGCCAGCATCATCGTTGCCGCCGTCGGCAACGCCGTCGCGATACTGCGCCCGCCCGAGCCACCGACCCGCATCGAAGCGCCCGCGCGCCATCGCGGCTTTGACGCGCGCTGGGGCGCTGCCATGGGCAAGCGCCATCGCGGCCGCATCGGCTGCGCCAAACCACCTGGCCGCCGTGCGCGCGAGCCCGCGCGGGCCAACGCGGCCGCAGAAATTTGCCAGCCATGGCCCAGCAGTCATCGCCATCGCCGCCGCATGGGCTTTTGGAAACCCAAGTGCGGGTGGGAAATTGAAACGATTGCGCGAACAGTGGAGCTGACAACTCCAAGTTAGTTGCGCCGCATAAGTTGCACCACAAGGATTGCAATGTATATTGTTTAGCACGGGTTGCATAGTTTACACCGCATCTAGCGCACATCGTAATATTGATACGCATAGCTTCCGCCACATGCATTTTCCATTCTTAAAAGGATAAATTCGACCCCGCCCCTGGACAGAACGCCCGCCTTCGCGCATTGCAATTTACAAATGTTTCTGCCCCATCGCCCATTCTAAATATGAATCCAAACCACCCTCGGCAGGCCGGCGCTCCCCCTTCATTTTCTGCAAAAACATACGACGCGCCCACACTTGTTGATCACGAAACATCAGTTTTCAGAACTCCTTCAACAAGCAAAGCGACGTGCACAGGCGCGCGTCGTCGCGCGCATGCCGACATCCTTCGAAAACTCCAGGCGTCGCACGGATTCCAAAGTCGAGCGCCCCGAAAATATACAGACACACACGGTTGCGCAAGAAGAAATTTCCACAAAAACTCTAGCTCTTGCAGATTCTTGAGGATACCATTGGTTTTTCAACATGCTCATTTAATGTTACCAAACATGTTTCTCGCGCGCGCGCATGTCGAACTCGCCCACGCGCCCGCGCGCGCGTGCCGCCACAAGGATCCCTCGCAACAAAACAACAAAAATAATAAATAAATAAATAAATAAATAAATAAATAAATAACGAAGGGCACGCGCGCGTCGTCGCCCGCGATTGCGAAAACCGTCGGAAGTCTTAGGTTTCGCCAAGATTTCATAATCGAGTGCCCCAACCATTCTTTATCAAAAACATGGTTTTGCAACGTTAGTTTGCAAAGGCGCCTGCGCTCGCCGTCCTGCGAATTCTTCGGAAACCATTTGTTCAGCAAGAAATGTGGATTACATTCGGCCCGAAAGGTCTCTCGCGCCGCGCGTCGAAATCATTCGGGCGCCCTTGCGCGCGCGCTGGCGGGACACGATCCCTGACAAGTACTACCACGCGGGCGACTCGCGCATCGGCCGCGCGCGCGTCGAATTCCATCCAGGACCTTCATCGCCGACGCGCGGACGCCGTCATCGCTATCGGCGCGATGAGCATCGGCGAAATCACTGGCCTCGCCGTCGTCGCTGTCACCATCGCCACCAGTATCGCCACTACCATGATCGCGTCTACCGCCGTCGACGTTGTCACGATACCGCGCCCGCCCCAGTGGCCGACTCGCATTGAGGCGCCCGCTGGGAAGCGCCCGGCGGCCAGCGCCACCGCGGCCGCGTCGCCCGCGCCAAACTAGCTGGCCGCTGCGCGCGCGAGCACGCGCGGGCTAGCGCGGCCGCAGAGACGCACCAGACAACGCCAAGCACCCAGCGCAATCGCCGCCGCATGGGCATTGCAAACCAAGTTGCGGGCGGGCGAGTGGGACGGCTGCGCGAGCGGAGCAGTAGAGTTGACAACTCACTGCGCACAGTTTCTTCCTTCAAACTGCATCAGAATACCCCCCCCACCCCCCCCACCCCGCCCCCGGATTTAACGGCCCCTTTTTTCGCATCGCAATGCACAGATGATTCTGCCCCATGGTTCATCCGGACAATGAATTCATATCACCACGGCCAAACTGGCAACGGTTTGCCCCCTCATCTTCTGCAAAAATACGACGCGCGCGCACGCCGGAATTTTCGAACAATTGTGATTTCGCGAGGTTCTGCGAGGATGTCAAAATCGAGCGCCCCGAAAACATTTGAAACAACACACGGTTTTACTACATCAGCTTCGCTCGCGCCCGTGCGATTTCTCAAGAGAAACATTTGTTTTTTGAATTGTCCACAGCCCAGCAGACGGGCCTCTCGCGCCGCATGTCGACATCATTCGAAAACCCTCGCGCGCGCGCTGGCGGGACACGGCCCGCGTCAAAGAATGCCACGCGGGCCACTCGCGCGTCGGCCCGCGCGCGCGTCGAACTCATTTCAAAACCTGCATCACCGACGCGAGGACGCTGTCATCGTCGCCCGCGCGATCAGCATCGGCACCGTCGCTGGCCGCGCCGTCGCCGGCGGCGCCATTGTCACCATCGCCGCTACTATCATCATCGCGTCTACCGGCGTCGACGTTGCCATGATACCGCACGTACCCCAGCGGCCGACTCGCATTGAAGTGCCCGCTTGCATGTGCCCAGAGGTCAGCGCCACCGCGGCCGCGTCGGTCGCGCCAAGCTAGCTGGCCGCTGCGCGCGCGAGCACGCGCGGGCCAGCGCGGCCGCAGCGATGCACCAGTCCACGCTAAGCATTCAGCGCAATCGCCACCGCATGGGCATTGCAAAACAAGTCGCGGGCGGGCGAGTGGGATGATCGCGCGAGCAGTGGAGTTGACACATGCGAGCTCCACAAGCGAGCTGGCCAGCATAGATCCTCCTTGCCACTGAGGATTGGGACCCCCTCCAGATTACCGACCTCCCCTGGGACATTGCAATGCACGATTGGTGATCCATGCCAGGGAGTATTTCTTATCGCCCCCCCTACCCCAGTCAAATAGTTCAACGCGCGCACATTCGTTCATCAAAAATCATTGTCTCGCATGCACACACGCAAAAGTCCACGCGCGCGCGTCGTTGCAAGGGCGCGGCGAAATTAGTACAGGACCGCTGTTTTCGCAACGATTTCATATTCCTCGCCAGAAACATGTTCCAAACATGCATGGTGTCGGAAGAATAAGTTGACAAACAAATATGCGCGCTGTCTCGGGCTCTTATGAAAACCATAAGTTCCCCCAAATGTTCGTCAAATTAAACCGCGCGCGGCCCTCGCGCGCGCGCGTCGAATTCATCCGAACGCCCTTGCGCACTTGCTGCCTTGCTGGCGGGGCACGATCCCTGACAAATAGGACCACGCGAACCACTCGCGCGCGTCGGCCGCGGGCGCGCTTCGAAATCCGGCCAAAATTTTCATCAACGAAAAGTGGGCATCACCATCGTGATTGGCGCGGCCAGCATCGACGCCGCCATTGGCCTCGCCGTCGCCGTTGTCACCATCGCCACCAGAATCGCAGCTACCATCATCGACGCCGCCGTTGCCGACGTCGCCGAGACACCGCACCCGCCCGAGTCACCGATCCGCAGCGAAGCTCCCGCGCGCCAGCGCGGCCTGTGGGACGCGCCGGGAAGTCCCCACTGGCCAGCGCCACCGCGGCCGCGTCGGCCGCGCCAAACTAGCCGCCCACTCCGCGCGCGCTCGCGCGCGCCAGCGCGGCCGCAGACATGCGCCAGCCAGCGTCGAACAGTCATCGCAATCGCCGCTGCATGGGCTTTGCAAACCAAGTTACGGGCGGTTGCGCGGGATGAATGCGCGCGCAGTTCGTTTCTTATGCAGCGTCCCGCGCTGGCGGCCCGCGTAAGCCACCGTAAGGTCTCCACGTCATCGTGCGTAAGACCGGGTCCTCTTCGTCGCGAACCTGAAGGCGCGAGGAGAACCGGCTACTTGAGCTGGTTCGCTGCCCCCCCTTTACTGATCACCGTTTGCGTCCGACCCGAGCCTCCCAGAGATCCGGCTGCTCGAATCGTTTCGATGCGTGGGCCCCGAGGTCTGGACCACTTCCCTGGGGCCGAATTTTCGTCCTGAGTCGTTTTTGACATCCGCGGGCGTTGCCCAGGGGTCCCAAGGAGCTGTCGAGAAACGATCGGGGACGAGACACCGGCCCTGGGGGAGAGGTCGCGACTTCCGGGGACAACGATCGGGTTTTCGACCGTTTTGCTTAGTTCTCGGCGGCTTTCCAGACTCCGGGTGCTCTCCAGCAGCTGCGCCTCGCAGAGGGCGTTCCCGGGGTGCCCGGATCGTCCCGAACGGCCGTCGGAGAGCCGAGCTGTGGCCCGAAAACCTCAGAGGGCAGCGCTTGGGGGGGAAAAGAGGGGCCCCCTCAAGGGGCCCTTTGGGGCCTTTTGGGGCCCAAAAGGGGGCCTGTAGGGCCCGAAAAGTGCACCTGTCTTCCCCCCCCACGATGGTCCCCTGAGCAGACGGCCTGGAGCCCAGGGCCCGTAGCCACCAGCAGCCGCTTGCGCCATGCCCGTCCAGGGCCCCCCGCGAGCGAGCAGGGCGCCGCAGGCCATGGGAGCGGCTGAGCAGCCCCCCCGCCAGCGGCGGCCAGCGGTTTTTGAACGGCCTGGCCGGCCCACACTCGGCGGCGAGCGACGGGGGGGCAGTGAGGAGGAGGAGGAGGAGGAGGAGGAGGAGGAGGAGGAGGAGGAGGAGAGGAGGAGGAGGAGGAGGAGGAGGAGGAGGTGGGGGCCTTCTCGGGAAGACTTTGGCCTTCTGAGAAGCTTTCTGCATCTTCGGGGAAGGCTCAGAGAACTTCTTTCAAGGCTGGGGGACTTCCGAGCCTTCTGAGAAGGCCCGCCCCCTCTCACTTCTCCCCCTGGGCTCGCCGCCGACACACGTTTCAACGCTTCCGCGCGGCCGGCACGGAAAAGGCGTCGCCTCTCTGGCGCACGGTCGCTCATCAGCTGCATTGGGGCCAAGACGCTGAATTATGGACCACATTGGGTTCAGGAGGCGCGTTGGTTCCCGGGTCGTTTCTTGCACTCACAGGCTGGAGGATATTTCTCCGAACGCCACACCGAACAGCAATCGCAAGACAAATGCGTACTTTTGCGCCCCAATCATTTTTTCCCTGGTAGAATCGTAGCATTGGCTTGCAAGTCGACGACGACGACGACGACGACGACGACGGCGACGCAAGAGCGCGCGCACGCTTTTGTCGAAAGTTCGTGTTGCGAAACCCTTGTGTTTTTGTATGTTTGTTTGGGAATTCGAGTTTGAATTCCTTGAGAAACCGGAGGTTTTGAAGGATTTCGGCATGCGCGCGCGACGACGCGCGCGCGCGCACTTCGTCACATGTTTGCAGAGGATTCTCGCGACGGCACGCGCGCAAGGGCGTTCGAAAAAACTCGACATGCGCACGCGCGAAGCCCGTTTGGCTTCATTCTTTTATAGATTGAAAAAACCGATGGTTTTGCTTGAAATTTCACAAGGGAGCGCGCACGTTCTTTATTTTCTCTCTCTCTCTCTCTCTCTCTCTCTATCTATATATATATAATACTGCGAAGCCCTGTGATTTTGTATGTTTCGTTGGAAACTCGACTTTGGATTCCTTCCGAAAACAATGTGTTTAAAAGGATGTCGGCATGCGCGCGCGACGACGCGCGCGTGTGCACTTCGTTTCGTTGTTTGCAAGGGATTCTTGACAACTACAAATGTTTTTTGATAAACGAGTGCGCGTGCATAGTATTTGTTGCAGAGGATGGCGGGGGGGAGTGATACCGGCCCGGCTGGGATAGTACGAGTTCATATTTAGGATGGACGAGTGTGCAGAATGAGTATGGAATCACCATACCCCAGGGGGGATCGTTAACTCCGGCGGGGGGGGGGCGAGTTTATTTTTTTAGAATGGAGAATTTAGGTGTTGCAACAGATGTGGTGCAATCGACGTAGTGCAATCTATGCGGTCTATCTATGTGGTGCAATTAATTTCTGTACGCAGCGAGTTGCCCACTCCTCTGCTCGCGCAAACACCCCACCCACCCACTCGTAGCCTGGTTTGCAAAACCCATGCGGAAGCGATTGCGATGAGTGCTTAGCGTTGGTTCGTGTATCTCTGCGGCCGACGCGGCCGCGGTGGCGTTGACCGCTGGGCACATCCCAGCGGGCACTGCAGCACGAGTCGGCGACTTGGGCGGGCGCGGCACCATGGAAACATCGACAACGGAACGGTAGATACGGTGATGATCGTAGCGATGTTGGTGAAGATGTTGACAGCGACGACGGCACGGCCAGTGACGGCGCCGATGCTGATCACGCCGGCGACGATGACACGCGCGCGCGGTCGACGCACGAGATTGGCCGCGTGGAATTATTTGACACGGATCGTGCCCCCTTAGCACGCGCACAACTGCGTGCGAATGATTTCGGCATGCGGCGCGAGAGGTCCGTTTGGTAGAATTTCATGAAAAGGTTGAATGCCGATGGTTCGCTTCAGGACCCGCCACGGCGCGAGCGCAAGCTTTTTTTAAGAACTGATGTTGCGAAACCTGATGTTGTTTTATATGTGTTCGGGATATTCGTTTTTGAAATCCTTGCGAACGCTGAGGCTGCTGAAGGATTTCGACTTGCGTGCGCGACGACGCGCGCGCGTGTTATCAGTCCCTCTCTTGCAAAGGATTCTCGCGACAGCACGCGCGCACGGGCGTTCGAACGATTTCGACATGCGCGCGCGAAGCCCGCTTGGTAGCATAGCATGAAAATGTTGGAGTTCCGATGGTTTTCTCATAAATTCGCAAGAGCGCGCGCGCAAGCTTGTTTTGAAAATCCGCGTTGCGAAACTATGTGTTTGTATACGTTTCTGGGACACTTGATGTTGAAATCCCCACGAAACCTAAGGTTTGTTCTAAGGAACTCGGCATGCGCGCGCGACGACGCGCGCGTGTACACTTTGTCCCGTTTGTTGCTAGGGACTCGTGAAGATTAACGAGTTTGGATAAACGAGAGCGCGCACATTATTTGTTGCAGAGGACGACGGGGGGGAGTCGATACCAGTTGGGCTGGGATGGTACGAGTTCAGATTTAGGGTGGACGATGGGGCAGGATCATGTGCGAATTGCAGTACGAAAAGGGACGCCTTTTTAACCCCGGGGGGAGGGGGGGGAGATCCGAATTCTCGTTTGGAAAAGAGACTATATGTAGTGCAATTAATTTTGTTTCGCAGTGAGTTGCCCACTCCACTGCTCGCGCAAACATCCCACCCACCCACCCGCAACTTGGTTTGCAAACTTCATGCGGCGGCGATTGCGATGAGTGCTTGGCGCTGGTTGGTGCATCTTTGCGGCCGCGCCAGCCTGCGCATGCAGGCGCGCGCAGCGGCCAGGTAGTTTGGCGCGACCGACGCGGCCGCGGTGGTGCTGACTGTTCGGCAAATCCCAGCGGGCACTTGAGTCGGCGAGTCGGCGAGTTGGGCGGGCGCGGTATCATGGCAACGTCGATTATTGTAGACACGAAAATGATGATAGTAGCGATGTCGGTCACGATGCTGACAGCGACGACGGTACAGCCAATGACGGCGCCGATGCCAATCACGCCGACGACGATGACGGCGTTTTCGCGTCGGTGCTGAAGGTTTTGGAAAGAATTCGATATGTGCGCGCGGCAGACGCGCGAGAGCGGTTCGCATGGTATTATTGAATCGTTTCGCTCACTCCGCCGGTCCTTATTGTCGCACCTCTGTCGATATGGGGTAGTATTCCTGATTGGGTCGCGGTGACTGTGGATTTGGTTTCAGGGGTTCGTCGCAGATTCTGGCGGGGTTGTCCTGGGGCAATCGTGGATGATCGCGGGTCTGGTCGGTGATTTATTTGCTTGTGTCGGTGAAGGGTGGATGATTCTGGATGGTCGCTGTAGGGCCATGCCGCAGATCGGAGGTATTGGTCGTAAGTTTGAGCCCTTCCGTTTTGGGGGGGTGGCGGCTTGTGAATGCGACCGCAGGACGAAGAGGAGGAGGAGGAGGATCCAGAAACGATGCCGAGAGGAAGTGCCTCGATCAGGGAACTGGGCAGCACACAGAGGAAGGGTCCCCCAGTGGAGGCCTCTTGGAGCGTCTCGGGGGCCTCTTGGCGGTCCCGGACGCCTCTTGGAGCGTCTTGGGTGCCGCGGAGAGTTTCTTGGGGCATCTTGGGGGTCTTTTGGGGGCCTCTTGGGGACCTCTTGGGCGCCTGTTGGGGCCTCCTGGGGCTTCCTGGGCGCCAGTCGGGGCCCTCTTGAAGCGCTCTTGGGAGCCTGGGGAGCGATTTTGGGGCCCTCTTGGGCCATTTTGGAACCATTTTGAAGCCTCGGATGGCCATCGGAAGCGACAAGGCGAGAAAGCCAAAAACATTGATTTTCCTAAGGTTTTGGAAGGGCTTGGGCCTTGGAGCCGTCTTGGAGCGGTTTTGGATCCTCTTGGAGCATCGTGGGAGCCATCTTGCGGCATCTTGGGGTATCTTGAGCCATCTTGGAGGTCATCTTGGGTTTTCCCAGGCGCTCTCGGGGTCATCTTAAGCAGCGCCTCCCCCCCCAGGAGGCCAAAATGTGGCCAAAACCCTAGTAAAATAAATGATTTTGGCATTCTCGCCGAGGCCTCGTGGAGCGTTTTGGGTGCCTCTGGGGGGCCTCTGGGGGCCTCTTCGGGGTCTTTTGGGAGCCTCTTGGGGGCATCCTGGGGGCATCTTGGGGGTCTCTTGGAGCCTCCTGGCCACCTCTTGGGGCCCTCTTGGGGCACCCATGGGAGCCTTGGGAGCGTTCTTGGGGCCATCTCGGAGGAGATCGATCAAAGAAGGGAGGTCCCTCAATTAGCGCTGCCCCCCCAAGAGGCTGAAATGAGGCCAAAACCTTAGTGAAACGAATGATGTTGGCTTCCTCGCCGAGGCCGTTTCGGACGCTCCGACGACCCGCGAAACGCCACCTCCAGGTCCAGGGCAGGGGGTAGGGGGACGGGTCCAGATTCCCTCCCCGCCCGCAAGCCATTTCGCTCACTCCCACCCGCCTTCCCAACACATCCGTAGCACCCGGGTCTGGCCCGAGCCTCAGCATACTCAGCAGTCGTTTTTGGATGGGCAGCTACTGGGGGCCAAGCCGCCGCCACCGCCGCCGCCGCCGCCGCAGCCGCCGCAGCCGCCGCCGCCGCCAAATGTACTCTGTATTGTTTTTGGACAGGGATGGTGGGGGAGGCCGCATCGGGTTGGCTGCACATGCCCCGAATTTGGAGGCAGAGTGTGTTTTGCATGGTTTTTTTTACCAGGGATGGTGGGGGGTGCCCGCATGGTTCTGGGTTGGCTACCAGTCGTTTGGGGGAGGGGGTGTTTGTTAATAGGGAACAATAGTAAACCCCTCCCCGAAGGGGAAGAAGGGGTGGAAGAGGAAACACCCTAAGCCACCTACGCCCTGAAAGGCTGGTGGGATTCGCATTCCTCCGATGGCTCTCCTCTTAGGGCTGTCTTGGGCTGTCTAGAGGGCCTCGTGGGCCGTCTTGGGGCCCTCTTGGGCCGTGTGGGGTCCATGTTGGGAGTGTGTTGGGCCGTCTTGGGCCGATCTTGAAGACCTCGTAGGCAGTTGGACGCGCTGGATTTCGAAAC